TCATATTGTACGTTTCAATTCGAAATTGTGATTATGCCGATTGCTCCAAATGAGTTTGAGTGATCAAAAGCTCTGCCTACCTAACTTTTGATGTACTGGGAGAAACACATCAGAATAAATGGTGAGTCCCAAATTTCTAGGTGAGTCATTTACTTGTAAGGGGTTATTATTTATGTGATTAAACATATTATTTTCATTATCAAAGAAAACTATTTTAGACTCATCCGAATTCAGCTCCAGCCGTTGTTCTTCAGCTGCTTTTTTCACCTTTTTGAGTTCATCGTTAATGATTTTCATAGCTGCATCGGTAGCAAACTTATAATTCTCGAATCTGAAAATTCTTTGTCATTATTTTTTTCTGGAATTGATATACCAACAGAGTTTTTCCATAATATTGGAAAGTACGATCTTTCAATGCAACTATTGATGTTAAAAAGACACAGTTGGGATCCGCCCAGAAAAAATCAAACACCCTGTGTGACCGCCAATATTTTTATTTTGTCGAGCTCGAGCAATAAGGTAATATTATAGAAAATTAGATTTCTATCTGCTTCCTGTATAGAGATATGGAACACCGCGCCACTGTTGCAGGACCCTGTATATGAAAATGGATGTTTGTTGGTTGGTTGGTAAATGATAACCTTCTACATCGCTCAACCGAACTTGACATGTATAAGTAATTTTTCAAAGAGAAGGTTTTTAGGCTATCAATTTTTCTGTAACTCGCTACTAGATGGCGCTGTAGAATTTTTTTTTGAAAGCACTGTTCTATAACGCTGCGCACGCCTAAGTTCGTTGATTCTGATTCTGTCAGAACATTGGAACACCAGCGATACAGCAACAATCTACTAGTCTTGTATATAAATTGTTGCTATTCAAGGTGGAGTTTGAATTGAAGGGTTGTTGTCTTGTTTTAGTGAGGTTATGTGAATCAGTGGAGTCTCTCAATTTGTTTTTCATTTCGGTCTCTTGTATTGGTGAGATTTATTTGATTCACGTATTCATTTTAGTTGTCTCATTGGGGGTAGGGCCTAGTCACTGTCATAGTCATAAGCATAATATCAAATTGAACCTGTGAATTTCTGTAGAAGCATACACGCAAACTTTTAATACCCAGTCACAATAATAATTGAATACTTGATTCTATTGGTTCAATTTTATTGAGACAGTGACACCGATTGAAATTGTGAGAATGATGCATAACTAGGCCCGAGACGTTCATTTTTGAGATACATGGTGTTGAAAATTTATTTTTAATTTGGGTTTTTCACGATTAAATTTTCAAATAATGTCGATATTTGAATAAAAATTGGTATTTGGGGACTTTTTGAAATAATAAATTCAAATTTGGTTTCAGTTTGGCACTTAATTATAAGGGTATTATTACAGGTATTGCTCTCTTTTAGGGAGTCACGACTTCGTTGTGCATGTATGCATCACATTTTCTTGAAAAAAAACTATTCGTCTATTATTTTTACGTGAAAAATATATGCTTGTCAAAAGTCGCTACCAGCAGCCGTTTTCGATATATTCAAATTCAAATTAATCGATGCATCCAATCGTCTTTTCATCGAAAATGACAGTATCAAGTAGTTTATTGAGTTTATTCCAATGTTTGTTTTTGTGCTGTCATGTCAAAAATGATATATTGATACATAATTGAATAGTTTTATTTATTATTAATGTGATTATTTTTTGTTTTGAAATGGTAAACTTCACCAATGCAGAGTATGCTGACATACATTTCGCATACGGATTTGCTAACTTAAATGTATATGAGGCTAGCGATATCCAAACCGCACAACTCCTACTTCAAAAACCTTTTCGAAAATTCACACTCGGTTAAAGGAAACAGGAAATTTTGAGAAAGCTAGTCATTTGTCAGGTGCTGACGTTAAACATTTCTCATGTTCTGGCATGGAAAATTTCAATTGATAATTAGTTATCTCCCTACTATATTCAAAGGGTTCAGGCACTACTCCCTCGTGACTTACCGTTATGTATCAACTTCTGTCGTTGGTTCTCCAACGCCTTATTTAAAATTCTTTATTTGAAAATCAAATTCTGTTTACCGACAAAGCAAATTTCTCATGCAATAGTATACGCAATTCTCACAACAATCATTTGTGGTCAGAGAAAAACCCCCATGCGATACAGGAATCACATTTCCAAGAACAATTCTCTACCAACGTGTGGGCAAGAATCCTTGGAGATTATTCTATAGGCCCATTATTCATTCCGGGAAGATTAAACGGAGAGAGATGTGCCACTCAGACCACGGAATGAAATGTGGTTTATGCATGATGGTGCCCCGGCACATTTTACCATACAAGTGCGAGAATTTTCAGATCAAACTTTCGGCAACCACTGGATAGGTCGGGAAGGGACTCAACGATAACCCCCTAGGTTACGAGACCTTAACACTTTGGATTTTTTCCAACAGGGACATCTGAAATCTTCAATTTACCAGATACCAATCCAATGAAGAAACATTAAGGAATCGAATAATCAACTCTTGCAGATCGACTCAAGGTACTCCAGGAAGTTCCCAAAGAGTGCGCGAATCAATGAGAAGAAGATTGGATGCGTGCATACAGGCGGGAAGTAGTGTATTCATATCTAGTGTTTCGTTATTGTTGATTATAAATTAGCTTTTTAAGTGTTTTAGGTTGAATAATTTTTTTTACCTTTTGACAAACACATGCATTAATTAATTTCAAATAAAATATCTCGTAAACGGCTACTTGTAGCAACTTTTGACAAGCAGACCTTTTTCACGAACAAATAATAGAGGAATCGATTTTTCTTCTAGAATATGTGATACATACATGCACGACAAAGTTGCGACTTCCCACAATTAAATCTAATATTGAACTCTCACCTACAGAGTAGAGCAAAAAGAGCATATGTGGCTTATGAGCAATGTCGGAAGACAGTGGAACGCACATAGAGTCATTCACCTCGTGTGGTCACCTGGATCTTCAACTTCTGAGAGTTGTCGTTCGTATGAGGGCGACAGCTGATTAACGGAAAAACAGATTTTAAACAGATCTACACTGCAATAATAAAACCTATGTTAACATACAGAGCCGTTGCATGGGAACCGAAAGTTCTACAAGCAACGGTCATCCAAAAAGTATATCAAATACAGTGATTGGCTTGTTCAAACATCACAGGAGTCATGAGAACAACACTAACCGCGGCAATAGAATTAATTACTGGTCTGACCCCTCTGAACCTGTACGTTAAGGAGGTTGCGTTGATGGCCATGTTACGATTGCGCACGGCTGGTGTAAACTTCGAAGTAGAAATGGGTCAATTGGGGCTAAGTCTATGGCGAGAAACGTTTACTGCGCAACCTCTACTGCAGGCAGCCAGTGATGCAATTGAACCCAGGTTTGTGTTCAATAAACTCTACAAAATACAAATAAAACAAAAAACAGAGTCAGATGCTAAAAGTGCAATACGCATATATACAGTCGGCTCAAAAACCAAAGAAGGCTCAGGATGTGGAATTTACTCCAGATCACTAAGCCTAAGGATTAAGTGGGAATAGAAAAAATATCAGCATGGTTCAAACAGAACAGGCTGGTATCTCAATCGCCACAAAAGAAATAACCAGGAAAGGAATTTCTGGCAAAAACATAACAATCTGTACTTATAGTAGACAAGTCCTATTAGCCTTGAACAGACAACGTGTTATCTCGGGGCTAGTACTACAGTGCCACCAAGATTTAGCCAAAGCCTCAGTAGATACCAACATTATCCTGAGGTGGGTTAAAGGGCACGACAGGGGTGACGGTAATTGCATTGCCGACTCTTTAGCCAAGGAAGCGGCTGGACTAAGAATTTCAGGAGCCAGTGGCACCTACGACCTGATGACTTCGACAATTGCGGAACTAGCCAAACGTCACACCCATGCTTAATCCCTAAAGATATGGGACGGAATAAAAGGATCACTCTGCCCAACCCTGGGAAGCTGGCGCCGAAGAAATATCTGGCGATGTCTAGGAAAAACCTATGCTTAACAGTAGGATTTCTGACTAGCCACTGTCAACTAAAGAAACCCCTCCATATCATGGGGCTAGTCGACACACCTCTATGCAGGATGTGTGAACAGGAAGATGAAACTGTCAGGCATGACTTATGCGAGTGTTCGGAGTTACTGTCAATAAAAGAGTGTGTTCGACGGGTCTTGGCCTACACCTGCCGATATAAACAAGATGTCTCCTAGTGACCTGTCCACCTTCCTGGAAAAGACAGGATGGACGATGACCTAGGAGGACAACTCCTAGGGAGGATGTACAATGAATCACATGTGGCCTAAGTGTTGTGGGCCTACACTCACCCTCCCTACTCTACAGATTCAGATTGTCACATTAAAGTTTCCTATTACCAAAAAATTTTCAACACCCTGTATCTCAAAAATGAAGACCTTGCGGACCCATGCTTGTATTAACTTTTTGCCTTATAGATAACTGAGGACTCGTCCTGTAAAATATCGGACACTTATTACATTACACCCTGTATGTTAATTTCATGGCTGTCAGTTTTATCGCTATTCGGAAGAAAGTTTCATTGGATGTTTATTTGCAAGACTTTTTTCTGCAGATCATCACTTTTTGATCACACCTTACAATAATTATATCAATAATTAACCCTCGTAATTATAATCTTGTTATTAAAAAGTTCATTTAATGAATATGAAATAATTTAATAAAGAATCATTTGAGAGACATTAAAATTATCATGACTGCTTTCAGTACAATGAAGAAAGCGAAATTTTTATTTCAGTGACTGGGTTATTTAAAATCATCGCTCTAATGAATGGTGCTATCGCTTGAGGTGAACCCTTCAAATGCCAACAACCTGGAATTTTCTTTCATCTATTATTTCCCTCAACACAACACTACATAATACCTTCGATATTAAAGTAGGCTCTAAAGAAGACGCAGAATATACAATATACTAATCATTACCACCTACATCAAGTTTCCTATTAAGTATAAGTTAGTCACTCTCCGATTTCCTTAGAGGTCACGCATTATGAAGTTTGAAAGAACACTATTGTAGATAAATCGTCGTTCGTTAAAATGGTACTTGCGTTTGTAATCTGGCTGTACACGATATTCAAGGCAATGTTTTTCCGAATACCAGCGTTTTTTCATTTGACGAATCCAAATCATGGTAAGGTTAAACATTTTGACAGTCTAACATAAAATCTGGTAATTTCGGTACTTTAAATTCACCTTTGTTTTTTTACGGAACTAACACAAATTCGAAATGAGGTTTCATCAAAGCACTGAATGAGTTGGTTTTTTGGATTTATTCATGGAAATAGGTAAAGTTTGATTTTACGAAATAGTGACACCACCTCAATGTGACAAATTTTGACAGGAGGAAAAATGTTCCCAATTCACATCAACGAGCGAGACACTAAGAAAACATCGAATAGCGATTCTTCAAGAAGAAACTCAACAGAAAACAATGGAGACTATGCAAGTACAAAACATAGTAATGAGTCATTTTCGCCCAGATATCAAAGTGAGTTGTTTTTTAGATTCATTTTTCTAACTGAACCAAAGAGTTTGCCTGGATTGCATATGTAGTACACATCTTCTCTCGATCAGTTTAGTGACAGACTCCACAAAAAATATCTATTGGCATTAGTTAAGATTAGATTAATATTCGTTCAACTTGAATCACTCACTTGAATCTGCAATATCTTCAGAAATTAAATTATTTCTCAGTGTCAAAATGTAACAAAGTATTATTCGCTGTTATTTGAATAATGTCATACCGTATGTTCCTAATTTTTTTAATAAATCCATTGTGTTTCCGTGTGCTGAAATATTTCATTCAAATGATTCGTTTTTTGCCGCGGACTTTTACGAAAAACTTACAGAATTTCACAATAAACATTCAGACAATTTCAGATTCCATGTCACCAATTCCAAGTCCTCCAGTTTCTCCAAATGCTAGAAGAGGATACAAATCGAAAAGAGAATCATAGTGTGGCTGAATATTTCACATGTTTCAAAATGTGTGAAACATTTTTTACGTAATTTCGATTGAAATAGTATTATTTTCTGCCTGAAGGATTTGAATTCGTCTGAAGTAGTCCATGTGGTGTGGAAAATATACCTGTTAGTATGCCACCTTTTCCAGTCAAAAACCGAGGGAGTATGTAATCGCATCTTCTTTCCTGAATCTTATATGTAACTCCTTCACATTTTGCTAACGAAGTGGTAAATGTAGCAGAAATATCGCCAGCTGAAATACTTGAAGAGGACATTTCTACTGATGGAGACAATCACATAGGATATCTCACAAGCAGTAGCAGAAAACTGATCTTCAAGTGCTACTACCTTACTCGATCAGTTGAAAGATTTCAGTCTCATACTTTCATTAATTGTTTGGTATGAGATACTTTTTCAAATTAATGTCGTTAGTAAATCCTCACAATCAACAGACATAGGTCTCAGTAAACGCACAGGCATGTTAAAAAATTGAGGTGCTTTCTTAAAAGAATACAGAAACACAGGCTTTACAAGCGTCATGAAAAATTAGATATTGAACTTATATTTAGAACCACAACCAAATAGTTTATTGTATTCCATCTTTCAATACAAAAAGATTGGATTTTCATATGAGCAGAGATAGGTACTTCCAGGCAAAAAATGAGCTGTCAAATAATTTCAAAGAATGTTCACCTAATTCGTGCTTCATTACATAAAGCACAAATTAAGAATAATTTAGTCAGCCAACCAATCTCATTTAACGAACGAGAAGATGCTTCTTGTCCGTCCAGTACCGGACCTGCGAGAATTTTTTCTGTGAATAAATTTGCATAAATATATGTTGGATATAATTCAATGTGAAGGAACGTTGAGAGGAGTGATTGTTTCGAATTTATATCTTGTACTATTCCAAAAGTAAAAATATAGAAACATTAATGTGAAAACAAGAAAGTGTCATTCATTTCATTTTGTAGATTAGGTATACCGAAGGTCATCAATTTGTTTAATCTCCTGATTTTCAAATCATTAGATAATAATTCTGCTATTCCGGGCGGAGAGAAATCAAACTTGTCAAAAACCATAAAAGTCGGTGCTGTCGTTTTTGAGTTAAGAATGATATAACAAACATGATTTTGCAACTTTGTTTCATATATTAGATTCAGTTTCTTAGTACAGCTTATTATACTTATACTTCGATAGCCTTCACGAGTACAGTTATTTCACTTCTTCACCATCACTTGCTAACCCTGTGGTACGATACTGAACTAAATGAATTTCGAAGTCGGTCTAAGGAATCGGTGTTAGGATTCACACGTTAAAAGGTAAAACCTCATTATTCCTTCGCTCGCACAAGTTTCGACATTTGAGAGTTGTCGACCGTAGGAGAGCGGCAGCTGGTTAACGGAGAAACAGATTTTTTTAACAGAATGTATACAATAATTAACTATTCACGAACAATTTTCCAAACGTTCAGTATCTATCACGTCGTCTCTTGGTCGCCCAACTCACTCGTTTCTGGATGTTTTGTCTGTTAATATCTTAACGCTGAAGTCCTCGGATCTCGGATGGCGGACGTATTCTGTTGAACCATCATAAAAGTACCTTATTTGACCCTAAGTGAATTTTTAATTCATGTTCAATTGTTAAATCTCATATTACTGCATATATTGTTATCAGACAGTTTGATAAAGCACTTATTTTACTGCCTTTTCCATCAATTTGCATTGAATGTTAGATAATGTATCATCTCTAAATGTTGTGAACATTTTTCAGTAACTGAAGTTTTATTTTTTTTCCGTAAAGGTAGAACTGATAGCGAAAAATAGAGACGAGCGGCGACAGCGACAAGCAGACGAGAAAGCCATGAAGGAACAAATTTTACACCTGGAACAAAACAATCCTTATTGGGAGTTCGCCCAAATGATAGCCGAATGCAGAAAATCAATGGAATTCCGACCTCTGCGAGAAAGCGACCCAATCGTCGAAAACCAAATCACGGTGTGCGTAAGAAAAAGACCACTAAATGAAAAAGAAATCAACAGGAGAGAGGTCGACGTTATGTCCGTTCCGACGAAAAACCAACTAGTCGTGCACGAACCTAAGCAAAAAGTTGATTTGACGAAGTATGTTGAGAGCCAGCATTTTCGGTTCGACTACGTTTTTGACGAAACCTGCACTAATGACCTGGTGTATAAATTTACTGCCAAGCCTTTGGTGAAGACTATTTTCGAGGGCGGAATGGCGACATGTTTTGCTTATGGTCAAACTGGTTCTGGAAAAACTCATACCATGGGAGGTGAATTCAGAGGTAAGTCAATCAGGCATACTAAAAAGTTGGTCTCTTCAACCTCGATATCGCTTTATTCATTAACCATTGAAGTGAGGAATCTTGAACAAACGGTTGTTTGAATTATTTCAATATCTTTCATACTTTTAGCCAGAAAAGTAGTTTCATCAGTTCGGACTTCCATTGTCTAATATAAATTAAAAAGTGAAAGTACTCGAATGACCCATAAATAGTCATCTCTCGGGGGAATAAGTCCAGTCATCACCCGAAGACGATTGTGGATACTAACAATCGAAACGTCGTGAAGTAACTTGGCTTGGAATCTCTTTTATTTTTTGTTCAATTGTCCTATTTTTCACTTGTATTTTATTTCACCGTTATTTCATCACCGCTGGCAATCTTCCAACAAGAAAGAAAAATCCCTTTTTTGTAAGATAGGTTGAAAAGTCTACAAAATACTGGTGCGAGTTCATTTTCACCCTCAAAGGGTTAATATAAATGTTATTTTCAGCCATTCTTTTTAATATTTATTTGTATTGGTTCTTTTAGAGATTTCAAATCGTTTTATATAATATTAGACAATGGAAGTCCGAACTGATGAAATTCATCATGAAGCATTGTCAATCACCTTCAAACAAAGAAAAGTAGTTCAAGAATTTGCCAAAGCATACTGCTTCAAATCCCATTCAAAATGTTAGTTTTCTTAGTGCAATTTTGGTCTCCTCCGCACTGCTTAGAATAATGATCGAACCAGAAAACTGTTCTTCCTCTTATGTCTAGCATATAGAAGTGAAACTACCCCAATGTAGTGAAATGAGAGAGTATCGTTGGAGTCCCACGTGACAACAGAGGCAGGCTATAAATTTTTGAGTTTGGAGTCTCTACATAACAGAATTATACTGCATGTAGCCTGTGAAGTATTCAATTTTCTACGTGCCCATGACCACGAAATAAAAATAAAGAAATTAAAGCATTTCTTCTTGAGGCAGCTGCCCCAGCAGCCTTTCACTGAACGAGGTGACCAGAACCAAAACTGTGTCGCCGAGTTGGAACCTGTTCACGAATAGGTCCCTCGTCAAAGCCACTGTTGGGGCCACTTTACTTTTGCGACTTCATGGGGATGAGTAAATACATTAAATCAATTTATTATTAATGAAAGGTGTTCTATCATTCATGATGTGATGATGAATTGGGTAATTTCAAGGATGAAATTGATATTCATTCAACTTCAAATCCCAAACCGTTCGTGCAGTCAAGTTCCTATTCCACTACTTAGTAAATTAAGAAATTAACTAGACAAACTTATTAAATTAGGTATCATTGAGGAAGTAGAAGAACACACAGCCTGGGTTTCACCTATAGTGGTGGTTCCGAAGGGTGACTAGGTGAGAATTTGTGGTGATTATACAAAACTCAACAAGAATGTTCTTCGTTCACACTTTCCAATTATAAAAGTTGAAACCTCTCTTGCCAGATTACAAGGCTCCAAATTTTTTTCAAAACTCGATGCAAATTCTGGATTTTATCAAATTAGACTTTCAAAGAAATCTCAGCCTCTTACTACTTTCATAACTCCATTTGGGCGTTTTATGTTTCGCAGACTTCCGTTTGGAATTTCCTGCGCCCCTGAATATTTCAGTATGAAATTTTCGAAAATTCTCCATAACATTAACAATGTCATTATTCATATAGATGACATATTGATACATGCACCAACCATGGAACAACATGATGATATTCTGCGTGAAGTTCTTTCTCGTCTTGTAACTGCGGGCATAACTCTAAATGAATCCAAATGCATCATTGACGTACAGAAATTAAATTTTTTAGGACATGTTATTTCGAAAGAGGGTATTGCTATTGATCCATCACGAGTAGAAGGAATTTCAAATTTTCCTATTCCTACTAATTAAACAGAAGTGTCGCACTAGGAATGATCAATTTTGCAGCTCGTTTTATGCCAAATAAATCATCATCACTTGAACCTCTTACCATGTTGTTGAAATATGATGTTGTATTCTCATTATCATTAGATAAAAAAAAAGATAAAAAAGCAGGTCATTATTAGTGCAGATGCCTCCTCTTATGGATTGGGTACTGCACTGATGCAACTAAATGAGAAGAATGAAAGAGAATTAGTTGCCTATGGCTCTTGTACTCTCACATCCACTGAAAGCTGTTATGCGCAAATTGAACGAGAAGCTCTGGCGCTAACCTGGGCTTGTCAGAAGTTTAAAGAGTATCTGATCGGTTTAGATTTTGTGCTGGAAACAGATCATAAACCATTGATACAAATTTTGCAATCAAAAAACGTAGATGATCTAACACCTCGTCCACAAAGGTTTCATATCAGGTTAATGATATATCAATACTCAGTTTTATATACTCCAGGAAAAAACTTGGTTGTGGCTGACACACTGTCGAGGAACCCTCTGAAAACTTTACCTGAAACTGAAGAATTAGCTTCTGAAATAGAAGCACATGTTCAATTGATAGTGACAGTTAAAGACCATTTTCTCTCAAAAATTATACAAATTATACAGGGTGGCCAGAAAAACAAGATGTTTCTTTCGAATTACTCCCATATTTTCAGAACAGACATGATATAAGGTTCTAGAATAATTATACCTGTAAATTTACAGTTACAAGTTTTGAACTTCATTCATTCTGGACACCAGGGCATAGTCAAGTGTCGAGAACGTTCAA